TAGGAAGAAGCTGAAGTAAACCTCTAGCCCTCCTAGAGGGACAGTGACCACTCAAAATATGCAGGCAACTGAAGGGGTTAATGGGGGCACCCACAGGAAGATGATGGCTGGCTGGCAAAGGACCCTGTGTGAGAGGCTAGGGAGGGAGGGAAGCTTTTGGGGTTAGCCAGGATTTTTTTTTGGGGGGGAGAACCTCCTTAGCTATGTACTTTTGATTTTTTTTAATTGGGGGTGGGCAGCTGTCCCTCCTTGCTGCCCCTTGGCTATGCCCATGGGCTGGGAGAAGAAAGGGCAGCTCCCAGGTGAGAGCTGGGAGGGCCTACCTGCTTCTCTGAGAGACAAGGATCAAGATCTGCCTTTGAGAGCCCTCTGAACTTTCCCCCATGGAGCCCCCGCTCCTGTTCTCACAAGGGCCAACCAGGGGCCTCCTCTGGGAAGCCCCCCCCCCAGCAGGACTGGAGCGCAAGGGCAACACTTTCCACCTGCGGTGCCCGGCATCTGGGATTTGGAAGCACTGCAGAGCACAGCCCAAAGGGCAAGGAGCCGCCCACAGTTCCACGCATCGGTCACGTACTTTTTTAAAAGCCATCTAGCTTGGTGGGCATCTATGAAGAAGCACTTTCTTCTCTCTGCCCTCCATCTTCCAACAGTCCTTATTTATTTACTGCACAGGTCAGGTTTTTGTCTTTGTATTTTGTGCACATTCTATGTCCAAATGTTTCCGTCTGCCCACAACTCCTGTCAATAAAAGGAGCCTCTGCACAGCTAGTCGGCAGCTTGCTTCTGCACAGCTCACCTCCATCCGACCTCCCGTCCTGTTATTCCTACACAAATCTTTCCGTCTGCCCACAACTCTTGTTAATAAAAGGAGCCTCTGTACAGCTCACCTGCATCCAACCTCCCCTCGTCCTCTGTTATTCCTACACAAATGTTTCCATCTGCCCACAACTTCTGTTAATAAATGTGACGTATTCATCAATCTGAATGGGGTTTATTTGCATGAAATCTTTCCTGACCCGAAGACACACACCCACACCGCAGAAGTGGCAAGCAGTGTATGGATCTAAAGGAAGACTACAGTGGTACCTCGGGTTAAATGCGCTTCAGGTTACATATGCTTCAGGTTACAGACTCTGCTAACCCAGAAATAGTGCTTCAGGTTAAGAACTTTGCTTCAGGATGAGAACAGAAATCGTTCTCCGGCGGTGCAGCAGCAGCAAGAGGCCCCATTAGCTAAAGCGATGCTTTAGGTTAAGAACAGTTTCGGGTTAAGTACGGACCTCCGGAACGAATTAAGTACTTAACCCAAGGTACCACTGTAGTTGCAAACTCATGGCCACCCTGGCTTTTCAGAGAAAGGGGCAGAACCCTCTTCTCCCAGACTTGGGGGTCTTCTCCATGCATTAGCACTCCTCCCCTGCAGCCCTGGGCCCCCCTCTCCTCCCTTCTCCCCACTGCACCCTACGGCAGAAAGGAGACTCGCCAGGTTCCAGGAGGCTCCACAGAGGCAGCCTTGGCAGAGCAGAGATGCAACAGCCACCTGCCTCTCCTTGCAGAAAGGGGCTTTTGCGCTGGAGGACCCTTCCCCCGCTTTTATTTCCTGCCCCGCTAGGAATCCAGCTCAGTTCCTTTGAAGCCTTGCAAAGCCGAAGGCATGTGGCTCTCCCCTCTCTCCCTCTGTGGTTTCTCTCTTGAAAGCAGGAGTCAACAACAAGCCCCACACACTGCACTGCCTTCGCTCCTAGGTGCTCTGGCACTGCCCACCCACCCCTGTGCCCCCTCCCCATTTTATTCCAGATGCACAGCTATGAGCTGGGTCTTGACTGGGTCTTTCATCAGACCACCGCTTTATTCCCGCTGCCACCTTGGGGAGAGAGGACCTTCACCCCTAACCTAGCAAAGGAGGAGATGTGTGGCGGAATGCAACTGATTTATTAAAACAAACACACAAGGGTTTCAAATAATGTTGGGTACATAAACTTAGGATTTCAAATGTTCCTGCTCCTCTTTTTGTCACCTGATTACAATGGGTGTTACAATGCTGTTTCTCTACTACTAGCCTAGCAACCCTGCTTGACAACAACCACTACTCTCACACTCTGTCTCCACTGAGGAGGTTGCTGGAGAAGCCAGGGAGAGACCTGCTCCTTGCCTTGCAGGCCTTTTCCACCTGGCTTGGGAAAGTGGGGTCTGGACTGCTTGCCGTTGCTCCCAAGCACCTCTGAAGTACAGCAAACAGAAAACTCTTTCTTCATCCTGGATACAACCCATTGCTCCTTGCATCCGCTCAGAATGTACTTGGAATAATTGAAGGAGGACAGCAGGAAGGGAAACCTCAGCTTACACTTCTCACAGAGGGAAGCCTGAAACTTGTGGCTTTTCTGGAAGATGTGTGTGTGTGTTGAGCAGAAACCAGAAAGAGCTTCAAGGGGACACGACCACCATCCTGGACGTGCTGAGGATGTCAGTGGCGGTCAGGAGCACCACATATTAGTAAATTGGAGGCTCCTGAAGCACATGAATTGCTTGTCAAATTGCAGAAGTGACATGAAGCAGGTATTCAACCCCTTGCCCAGTGACTTGCACCTCACAGATCTGGCTAGGAAGAGATATGGGGCACTAAGGGTATGTGCACTCCATGGCTTTGAGAGACAATGACATTTTTTTGCTGGATTGCCAAATGAGAAGAACACTGTTGCAATCCTCACCTGCACATTCATAAAGTGTCCTCAAATTAAATTCACACACAGCCCTGCCATGAGTTCTTTGAAGGGCCATTGAGATTGACCCTCTGACTGAAGCCCTTTCCACATTCCAAGCACTGATATAGTTTATCTGATATGGTACTGATATATTGGGAAATTAACACCACGGCTGGTGTGCTACTCCCTTCGAAGTGCCACTCGGGTGATTGATCTTCCTCCCGAGCCACCAGTGCAACAGATATCCGTAAACATCTGCACGCAGTAACAACAGACAGTGAAAGTGAGGCTTGAGGCATGGATACGAAGCACTATGTTTATTATTTACAGGACAAAGGAAAACATGGCTCCTCTTACTTTCTTCATCAGCAAGAGAAGGGAAAAGCAAAAGCATTATCATGGAAACAGCGTATCTGAACTTCCGTTCCCATGACATCCAACACTGTGGAATGTAAACAGACGCGTGACAGCAACAATCACGCATCTACAACACGAGGAATGAAATTCCCACTGGTCTCACTGCTATGGCAACGTATAGCAAATGGAAGAAAGGATAAATCAAAAAGGAGGAGTATACACGAGTAGCCAACAGTTGCAGGGAGGTCTAGGCAGGCCAATGCTCTGAATGAGCTCAGGCTTGGAAGAGAGATTGAAAATAATTTTAAAAGTTTTATTCAGCTGTGTTCAAAGCAAGAGAAGAACAAGCCAGTGGAAGGTTCTCTGCGTGGAAAGGACAGAGAAACGCTGTTGGGTGACTGAGAGAAGACGGAACCACTCAGCACCTACTCTGCGTCCGTCTTCCCCCAAAAGAAAGCAGTGCCCAAGCTGATAACAGAATCAATGGTGCAAGGAGACAGCTGCAGCCCAAGATAGGAAAAGAGGTAGTAAGGGAATAACTGAATTCAGATCTCCAGAGCCTGATGAGCTGCACTCAAGGGTATTAAAGGAGCTTGCAGATGTAAACTCAGAGCCTCTTTCTATAATCTTTGAGAATTCTTGGAGAACAGGTGAGGTCCCTGCAGCCTGGAAGCATGCAAATGTCCCCACCTTCAAAAGGGGGGAGGGAGACCCAGGTGACTACTGACCGGTGAGCTTGACATCAATACCAGGAAAAGTCCTAGAACATATAATTCAGGTGTCTGTCTGAGAGCACTTAGATTACTAAAACCCAGCATGGGTTTCTCAGAAATAAGTCATGCCAGACCAATATAATTTCTTTTTTTGATGGAGTAACAAGTTGGTCAATCAGGGGAATTCCTGTGGACATAGTGTATCTTGATTTCAGTAAGGCTTTTGACTAAGTCCCCCGTGATATTCTCACGAGGAAGCTGGTAAAATGTGGGCTGAACGAGGTAACTGTTAGGTGAATTTGTAGCTGGCTGACTGACTGAACCCAAAGAGGACTCATTAACACTTCCTCATTGTAATGGGAATTGGGGTTGCTTGTGTGTAAGCCACAGACTGCTCCAAGCTGCTTGGGTGGTTAAACCTTTCCCTGGCTGGACAGCCCTTATGCGCGGCTGCCTCAATCGCTGGCAGAATCCGTCAGTGGGCGTTTCCTGAACTTCTTCCAACATAAGAATGTTTCCTGAACTTCTTCCAACATAAGAATTCCTTGACAGCAAGTCTCCGCCTAGCTTCTCTGCGTGGAAGCCTTCTGCGCAGAGTAGGCGTGCCAAGCGGAGGTCCTGCACTCTCCCCGCTGATCTCACTGGAAGAGTCCCTGAGCCTTCCCTCCGAAGTACTCTCAGCCTCCCCTTTCTTCCTGGTGTCACCTTGATTCCCTTCCCCCGCGGAAGCTCTCTCTCTCCTTGCTAGTTCCCTCCCCTGCATCATTGGGGCGACTTCTCTCTCCGCTAGTCTCAGATGTCAGTTCCCTGACACTCATCATCCAGGAAAAAAGTGACAAGTGGGGTGCCACAGGGATCTGTCCTGGGCCCGTTGTTGTTCAACATCTTTATAAACAATTTAGATGAAGGAACTGAGCAGATGCTCATCAAATTTGCAGATGGTACCAAACTGGGAGGGGTAGCTAATGCCCCAGAACACAGAATTGGAGAACTGGGAACAAACTAACAAAATGAAATTCAATAGGGACGAATGTCAGGTTCCACACTTTGGCATAAATATACGATGGGAGACACCTGGCTTGCCAATAGTACATGTGAAAAGGATCTAGGGGTCTTAGTGGACTGCAAGCTCTACATGTGTGAACAGTGATGCAGCAGCAGCAAAAAAGAGAGCTAATGCTATTCTAGGCTGCATCAACAAAAGAATAGTGTCCCAATCCTGTGAGACTTTTGATGGGAAGTGAGATTGCAGCTCTGGTAAAAGCTCTTTCCACATTCCATGCACTGATATGGCTTCTCGCCTGTATGAATCCTTTGATGAGCAGTGAGACTTCCCTTTTGACTGAAGCACTTTCCACACTCTTGGCACTGAAATGGTTTCTCCCCACGATGACTACTTTGATGCCGACGGAAGCTTACACTTGTATTAAAGCTCTTTCCACATTCCGTGCAGTGATATGGTTTCTCCCCTGTATGAATTCTTTGATGGGAAGTGAGATTGGTGCTCCGACTGAAGCTCTTTCCACATTCCAAACACTGATAGGGTTTCTCCTCTGTATGAATTCTTTGATGGGAAGTGAGACTTTCCTTCCAGGTGAAGCTTGTTCCACATTCCAAGCACTGATATGGTTTCTCCAATGTATGAATTCTTTGATGGGAAGTGAGACTCTCCTTCTGCCTGAAGCTCTTTCCACACTCTTGGCACTGAAATGGTTTCTCCCCAGTGTGGATTCTTTGATGGCAAGTGAGACTCCACTTGGAATTGAAGCTCTTTCCACATTCCAAGCACTGATTTGGTTTCTTCCCGCTCTTATTTCTTTGATGGGAAGTGGAATGCGAACTCTGACTGAAGCTCTCTCCACACTCCAAATATTTGTATGGCTTCTCCACTGTGTGGATTTTGTCACGGTCTCCCTTGTTAATTTCCAATTCATCACCAATTTCCAATTCATTACCAGCTGTATCAAAAAGAGAAAGACCAGGAAGAGATTGAGCTCCAAGTTGTTATTATTATTATTATTATTATTATTATTATTATTATTATTATTAATTTATTACCCTTTGTCAGTTATAAAAGCATAGTACAGTGGTGCCCCGCAAGACGAATGCCTCGCAAGACGGAAAACCCGCTAGACGAAAGGGTTTTCCGTTTGCGATGCGCTTCGCAAGACAAATTTCCCTATGGGCTTGCTTCGCAAGACGAAAACGTCTTGCAAGTCTCGCCATTTCCCCCCGCTCCCCCCCCTTTTTCAAAGCCGCTAAGCCACTAATAGCCTTTTAGCAGCTTAGCCGCTAATCCTTTAATAGCCGCTAAGCCGCTAAATCGCTAATAGCGCTAATCCTCTTAGCCGCTAATGGGGTTGCTTCGCAAGACGAAAAAATCGCTAGACGAAGAGAATCGCGGAACGGATTCTTTTCGTCTTGCGAGGCACCACTGTAAATAGGCTGCCTAATAATAAAATTGTCATCATAATAACATTCCTCTCCCCCACACTTTTACAGGCCATAGATTAATAAACAATGGTAACTTTCTAAAAGTCTTACTACAGGGTTCATTGACTTTTCTGACAAGCATTAACAGACATACTTATGTGAACCTGAGATTCAAAAACCCTGGCTCTTTTCTTTGATGGATTTTGTTTGATCTAATAATGGAATCCAATCCATCTCCCATGTCAGAAGTCTCATTGGTCTACCAAGAACAGACAGAAAGAAGGAAAGACATGAGAACATAACAGAACCTAACCACGCCAAAGCCTACATTTAAAAAGGCTAGGGCAGTTCAGACCAGCAAGATCATGGTTTTAAAAGGCAAAATTGGAGGAAGAATATTCACAGATAAAACAGCAGATAACTCTCCATTCACGGTTCACTGTGGGGCTGTCAAAATCCCAGATGTTGTGGGTCAGGCTTCCTCAACCTCGGCCCTCCAGATGTTTTGCGACTACTATTCCCCGCATGCCTTGCCACTGGTCCTACTAGCTAGGGATCATGGGAGTTGTAGGCCAAAAACATCTGGAGGGCTGAGGTTGAAGAAGCCTGCTGTGGGTGTTGTTGTTTAGCTCCATCAAAATACTTGAGGTTCACCTCATAGAGATCCGTACTGAATTTCAAAACAGATATCATGATCCAACAGGGAGCCTTACCAAGAGAGTCCGTGATCCCACGATTCTCCCCCATGACTTCCTTATGCAGAGCTCTCTGGTCAGGATCCAGCAACGCCCATTCCTCGTCTGTGAAATGAACAGCTACATCTTCAAAGCACACTGGACCCTAAAAGAAAAAGGGGAAAGTCTTCTTCTTAGAAAACATTATCTACTACACATTGCTTTGTAGTTTTTTGCCTGTTAATTGCTGTGTTCCTTTAATGGGATTGTTTTGTTGTACATTTTAATCACGGATGCTTCTTTTACATGTCTTTCATTGTGTCTTTTATTAATGGGTATTAATCTATGTGTAAGTGGGTGGAGCTCCACATGGCGCTCTTCAAATCAGTCTGCGCAAGCGTCCCTGTTTCCCAGATGGAAGGATCCCCTTTCCTCCCCCCGTCTGCTGTTCTGGAGGGGGAAACCTCCCCAATGCCCTAAGACCAACTTCAAGGGGGGGGCAGGGGGTCACAGGAGGGGAAGGAGGGAGAAAGCGCAACTGATGGGGCTCATTTGGTGACTCCTGGCCACTATTATTTTTATGGTTAGAAGCCTATTTTAATATTAAATGGGAAATCAATAAATAAAACTACAACTACAGATAAATAATACCAGCAATATTCATGAGGCAGTTAAGGTGAGATGGCTGTTTATCAACCTTCTGGAATTGCATTTTAGGCCTTTGTTAAGGGCAGGCATGACAGAAACCAAGATGAGGAGAGGGATTCATCCTGACCCAGAGGCACCTGGCTGCCCCGTCCCTCAGCCTCCTTCCCACAATGCTCCTTCCTCCTACCTGAATTCCTTCCACAGCCACTTCTTCCCCTCCACCAGGAAAAGATGGATGAGGAGCTCTTGCCATCGTCCTTCTGTCAGCTGCAGGACAAAAAGGTAAGTGGGAAGTCTAAGTGCCTGCTTCTCAGAGGTTTAAGCAGCGCAGCACTAAACACAGAAGAGCCTTTCTAAAAGCCTCACCTGCTGAATGAATGTTGATGTTTGTACCCATTTCATATGTTAGTTGTGCAAACATACATCTCCCCTCCTTTGGGGTCTTGGCCCCAAATGATTAAAAGAACCTGTGGATTAGTTCCAAAACAAACAGAATGTGACCAAACAGAGAAAAAACTCCTTCCTCCTTACCCAGCGGCCTCTCTCTGGCGTCCAACGGAGTCTTCTCTGCCTCAGAGGAATCCAGGCCCAATTCTGCAAACAGATCCTTTCCCTGAAAGAGATACAGGGATTCAAAACAGAGAACGGGAAGAAGGATTGGAAAAGGAATGGCTGAGGGAAAAACTTTAGGGGTATCTAATATGATTCACTTAATGCTTTCCAAAAATGGATGGGCCATTAGAAGAGAGTTTGGGAGAACTCTCCCTCTTGTTCAGAGCCCCTTGGGAGTATCCAGAGGAAAGTCTCTCTCACCTGCTTTCTCTCCTCTGCCTGACTCAGGAGGAAACCTTCAGCCAGGGCCACCGCCTGGGAACTGGTCTCCGCTCCACATTCCCTCACCCAGCTCTCCATCTCTGGCGGAAGGACAGCCAGGAACTGCTCCAAGATCACCAGGTCCAGCATCTCAGCTTTCGTGTGCCTTTCTGGCTTCAGCCACTGATGGTAAAGGTGGTGGAGTCGGCTGCAAACTTCTCGGGGTCCATTGGCCTCCTGGTAGCAGAACTGCCTGAGCTGCTGGCTCTGCAAATCTGAGCAGAGAGTGTCCTCCTCACCCAGGATCTTCTTCACAGAGTTTTCCCAGAATCCCCCACTGCTCCCAGTTTGGACAGCATAACCTCTTCCTGCTCCAGGGCCAGCTGAGTCTTGCTCATCCATCTGGGCTCTCAGGAAGCTTCTAAGAGATCGGAACGAATCCCTTGGTCTTCTGCCAACAGGGGCTAGCAACTTCTACAAAGCAAATAGATTGTTCCATTATAAAATTGATACACGGTCAGGAGAATAAAAATGTTCCCTGAATTAAGCATGGCTGAGTCTTGTGAGATGAAAGGCCTGGTTTCTTCCACCTTTCAGTGTTTTCAGTGAACGTATGCCATTAGAACTGCAATTGAAGAGTCATTTGTACCGAGTGTAATTTGGACACTGAGCTAGACTTGGGGTGCTAACCCTGGGGTCCTCAAGAGTTGCTCTCCCTCCCACTCCAGTGCACATTTCTTTCCTGCTTCGGTCACTTTTTCTAGCACTTGAAATCTGCAACGTTCTCATACTACTTTGGTGAGGTCCTTTTGTCTTTGTTCTGAGGCCCAGATATGTATGTGTTCAAAAGTGGACCTAACCCCGGTTGAAACAGATCTAGGAAATCAATTTCTTCCAGGAACGCCTGGATCTGGTCCGTTATGAACCTCTCAAGAACCTTGCCCAATAAGGGGAGGCTGGCAACTGGCCTGCAGTTACTTAGGTTTTCCAAATGCAGGGAGGGTTTCTTGAGAAGTGGTTGGTTCTGCCCCCGCCTCCTTCAGGCAGGAAGGGACCACCCACTCATGCAGGGAGGCAATGACCATCTCCCTGGCCCAGCTAGCTGTCTCCTCCCTGCCATAATAATAATAATATCCGCTTATCTGGCTGATTTTCCCCAGCCACTCTGGGCGGCTTCCAACCGAATATTAAAAACAATACAGCATCAGACATTAAAAACTTCCCTAAACAGGGCCACCTTCAGTTGTATTTTAAAAGTAAAATAGTTGTTTATTGCCTTGACATCTGCTGGGAGGGCGTTCTACAGGGCGGGCGCCACCACCAAGAAGGCCCTCTGCCTGGTTCCCTGTAACCTCACTTCTCGCAGTGAGGGAACCACCAGAAGGCCCTCAGAGCTGGACCTCAGTGCTATTTCTTCTCATCGAAGAAGGACAAAGGTCCAGACTGCAAGTGGTTGCACTGACTGATCTGGGAACTTGTCCACATCCGCGAGTCTCACTAACTGAAACTCATCCAACACAACAGGATCAGTAAGGGCTCTGGACAAACCATGAGATTCATCTGCTATTACAGCAAACTCAAGGTCTTGGTGGATTCAAGTGATTTTATCCTCAAAAGGATTTGCAAAAAAGCCGCAGTGAGCTGCTGCCGACTGTAAAGGATTCCACACTACCTGGAACAGCTCTGCTGGGTGGCACAATGAGCGTGCAATGGAAGCTTCTGTGCTGCCTTCCCTGCCACTAGGCAGAGTCCATGATGAGCCCTCACCAGTGTCCGGTTGCATTCAACCAGGTTTTTCCTCCACTCCCATATGAGCCATCTCCCAGCTTCTTTCCTTGCCCCAAGCACTGGAGTGTACCAGGTTTAACTCTGCACTGCATAAAGAAGCACTTTCTTTTCTTTGCCCTCCGTCTTCCAATGTTCCACATTATTATTATTATTGTTATTATTCATTTCACTTCTATACCGCTTTATATTTTTCAGAAAAATCTCAAAGCCGTTTACAGCATATTAAACATCAATAAAACAATCCAGAATCAAACATTTTTTAAGAAAGTCAGATATGAAGTATACAGTCAAAGCAACATAATTAACAGGAAGCTAAAATATTATCTTAAAAGATTTCAAAAGAAAACATTACAAAGGAGAAGGTCAACTACAGTATACATATTTAACACAAAGTTAACAAAAAAAAAATCTTAAACATTTCAAAACATTGCTAAGTCAGATATAACTTAGCATCACCCAATCACTCTATAATTCCACCGTAATCAGTTTTGCCTGACATATTTGCAAATACACTTATAACTGGGTATTAAAGGTGGATCTGTATTGCAAGCAGTACATTCATTCATTCATTGCATAGGTCAGTTTTGGCAGGGGTTTTTTTTGTTTTTGTCGTATGTGTTGTCTGAATGTTCAAGTCGGCTACGACCTCTGTTAATAAATGCGACTTTTTCATCAGTCTTAAAGGGGTTTATTTGCATGCTCTCTTTCCCTGACCCAAAGACCCTTCCCCCAAGTGGCAGGCAGCGTACAAAGAGAGGAGAGTTGCAGCGGACCCACAGCAGAACTCTCCATCTGGCTTTGCAGAGAGGAAGGGGGCAGACGCCCCCCTCCCCTGCAGCCCTGGGACCCCCTTCTCCCCACTGCACCCTAAGGGGGGAGAGAGAGGAGACTCACCGGGTCCCAGGAGGCGCCCCCGACACAGCGCTTGCGCACGAAAAAGACCCCCTCTCCACACCCCGCCCTTGCGCGCCTTGCTCGGGAGGACCTTCCTCCCGCCTTCATTTCCTCTCCTCTCTAGGAATCCAGCTCGGTTCCTTTTAACCCTTGCAAAGCCGAGGGAACAAAACCATCCCTCTCTGTTACAGATAGGTAGCCGTGTTGGTCTGCCATAGTCAAAAAATTCCTTCCAGTAGCACCTTAAAGACCAACTAAGTTAGTTCTTGGTATGAGCTTTCGTGTGCATGCGTGTATCTGAAGAAGTGTGCATGCACACGAAAGCTCATACCAAGAACTAACTTAGTTGGTCTTTAAGGTGCTACTGGAAGGAATTTTTCATCCCTCTCTGCATACTATGCTGTACTCTCTGGAAAGGGACCCAAGGGTCCTCTAGTCCAACCCCCTGCAATGCAGGAATTGCGCTCGCAGCCGTTCCTGGGTCAGCTCGAAGCGCCAACTTTCTGGTTAATTGCCAGACACAATGATTCATGGGGTTTTGCTGGGGGGGGTAGGGGGGGACGGGACCCTCCTGGCTGGGTTCTGAGCTGCTTCCTCCCTTGTCCAGAAACAGGAGGAGGTGGAAAGGGATCTGCAAAGCAGGAAAGCCCTTAGAGAATCATAGAATCACATAGAGTGTGGGAATGTTGTGAGTCGAGGGAAGATGGGCAGGGTAGGAGGAGGAGAAAGGCCGAATATGACATCATAAAATGTCAAAGGAATAATAATAATTAATAATAATAATAATAATAATAATAATAATAATTTATTTATACGCCACCCACCTGGCTGGGCTGCCCCAGAAACTCTGGGCGGCTTCCAACACATAAAAACATAATCAAACATCAAACATCAATAGTAACAATCTGATCCTCCCAAACGGTGGCTGCCCAGTCATCT